TATATATATATATATATATATATATATATATATATATATCCATCCTTTATTCTTTCAGAGTCCTTTTAACTAATTATTAGTAATCTTTCTATAATATTGTTTTCCAGGTTTATGCCATCAGTCTATCTTTATAGATTAAAACATTCATAACTGAATTCTTTAGGAATGAAGTGATTCTGTCTTATACCAAAGTTCACGTAATAGCTAGGAAAGATAAAGGAATCCCCTGCTATGCTTTACTTCTGAATTTCATTATGCCATAATTGAGTATTTGACAATGCTTCAATGTAAGAAGAAACCATGAAAATTTCCTTAAATTATTATGCAAATTAAATTACAGGTAATGGGCATGAGCAGGAAGAAATGTTTATTCAAAATATATTTGGAAAATGTTATCCTCAAACTTAACAATAATTAATATTTCCTGGACCACATACACATATGTGCACATGTGCTCATAGAGTGAACTAGAGATAGAATTTATGTTTTTTACATTTTTTTTTTTATCTTGTAGGAAAAGGACTAACCACTTTCAATTCTTTACCCTTATTAAAGTTACTTGGGAAGACTGATCTTTTTTCCCCCCTAGAATAACCCTAAAGAATTTCTCATCCACACATTCATTTTGGTTATGAATTTACTTATTCAACTTATAGGTACTAATGTCATAGTCTGACTTTCAGAAATACAGTTGATTGCATCACTTATTTTATAAAATGAAGTATATTTTAAATTGAAAACCATTAGTTTTTATTTAAACATTGAATCAATGTGTAGTTTCTACTGTATTTACAATATCAGATAGAAGTAATTTTAAATTAGTTCTATGAACTTGTTGAGATTTGAAATTATATTCCTGAGTATTATTAATCAGTTTACATGTAATATGACCCTATATATTTTCTATATGATATGAATAATCCATAAAATGTAATATTTTATGAACCACATTCTACTTTTCTGATTTATTAAAATTGCAGTATTATGATAGAGAACAAATGTATGTTTTACAAGTTGTAATACATTACCAAAAACTCATTTTGCAGAAAAAAAATGAATATGGCTAAAGTGGTACTAAAGTAATATCTTTGACTCCTCCCTCCACAATCTCCCAAATCACTCAGCTCTTTTTTATTTTTTTTATTTATTTTTTTTATTGTTGGTCGTTCCTCACTCAGCTCTTAACTGCCACAATTTTTTGTATTCATTTTCTTTCTCAATCTCTATCGCCCTTGTCAGTTCAGATCTGTTTAATCTTTCCCCAATCTTTATTCTTTGTATTCTTCAACCTGTGTTCCTCCTCATTATCATATTAGCTTTAAACTAGAGCTTTGAACAACCCAGAAATGATCTGAATCTGAACTTTTCAAAAACTTTAGTTATTTATACTGTTAACTAATTGAGCAACAATCCTCAGTTTGGTGTTTAAGGTATTCCAAAATATGGTCTCAAATTATCTCTAGCACAATGATTCTTTCTTAATCATGGGCCAAAATTGATTTTAAAAATGTTCAAATGGATGCATGCAAAGAATTGTATATAATTTAACAGAATTTCTAAAACTTCTCCCACAAGGCTTGGAAAATGTCTTTTCTCTATAGCCATACTTACTTTCTGCTACACATATTTTAAATTCTGTCCCGGAGAAACCATAAGCAACTTGAGGACTGATATGGTGTTTCATGCAGTTAATTTTCGCGTATTCTCATAGTACTTCCCAAATGTCTCCATCAGACAACTTGACCTTTGGAATTTTTCCATTGTGTTCTTCTGGAAATGCTTTTATTTCCTCTATGTAACCTGTTGACCTGTTACCTGGATAACTTGGGAAGCCTTTGAGGAAGATAAACATCATGTTTCAGGTTTTCATCACTACTATTCTTCCTAAGATAAATCATTTTTTTCTGGTGGGAAATAATTTTTTACTAAAAACCTTGGTTTATGCTCACATTGATTAATGAAGGCTCCATTTGCATTTAAATGTGATGTCTGTTGAGTTAATGTCAACTAAACAAGTGTTCTAAGGTGTTTTTCCATTTCTATTTTCCAGGTTTCTTGAGTACAGGAGATCAGGCCGCAAAAGGAAACTATGGACTTCTTGATCTCATACAGGCTTTAAGATGGACTAGTGAGAACATTGGATTCTTTGGTGGTGACCCCTTGAGAATCACTGTTTTTGGATCAGGCGCTGGGGGTTCATGTGTCAATCTGCTGACTTTATCCCATTATTCTGAAGGTAACCGTTGGAGCAATTCAACCAAAGGTATTATGCAGGTTGCAAATTTTGACAATTTTGGTGTCTGCATGCCACCACCATCAGTAATATGTGATACTTTGTATATACTTCTCTGTTCAAACTGAATGTGAGGTTGAATTCAATAACTGTTTAAAACTATGTTTCTTCAGCTTTCTATGCATGTTTAAATTTTTGTCAAACTCTTCTTTGTCTCTTGTGGAGCTTGGTAAGGATGCCCTTTCAAGCACACTTCAGATTAGCTAGTATTGTAGTTATTTTCTTTTCTTCAAAGGATGATTTGGGGGAAAATCAGGCAAAGACATTAGCAGTTTTGTCCTCTTTGTTTATTCAGTAATCAAAATCAAATAAGATTTTTTTTTATTTAGCACAGGGATTGTATATAATATATTTTCAAGAAAATAGACATTTTAAGCCCTTTAGTAGTTTGAAACTAATGGAGCAGTCATAAACTAGTTTGTCTGGAATCATAAGATTTCACTTGTTGTCTGAGAAAAGAATGGATATTTGATTATTTTGCATGCATGATCCAAAATTGTCAAAGCATCAAGGTCACTAGTTGAGTTTTTGGTTAAAAAATAATATATTTGATTTTGTGACTTTTTCTATTTTCAACTCCAAAAGTGTTTTTCCCCTAAAGCTTGGCAAAGCATCATGGAGCACTAAAGCTGCTTAAAACTATGAAATATTTTGTTTACATTTTAGCTTTGACATCCTTTTTCCAAAGTGCCTGTTCAAGGCTCTTCATGTTTTTCTTTATGGGCTCCATTTTACCATGTGATAAGGAACCCATTCTACCTACATAATTAATTTAAAACTTGAAAGACCAATAAAGAACAGAAAAGATTTGTTGAAGAAGTCTGGAAAGTAAATATTTTTCTCCATTATTTATGTATAATAGGAAAATAGAGAATATGCATCAACACAGCCTATTTTTTATTTTATGTTTCTTAATTCTCATTTTATATATATGGAAAACCTAAGTATATATTATCAAGCAAAATTTATGAAGCATCTTATTTTGTGAAACTTTTGTGGTTGAGCATCATGCATAGAATATTTGTTTTAGTTATCAAAGATACATTAAGGTGGAATTCTAAAAGAAAAACCAATCAATGAGTGTATAGAGAGAATTTTTCTTTATTTAATTTATTAATATATTTTATATTGCATCACATTTATATTAGTAAGATTCTGATTTGAGATGACAAAATTATATAGCTGAGAATACTTTAAAATGCATAGAGATTTTGCTTTGAAATGAAATGGCTTATTTTGAAATACCAGATTTTGGATTTTTAATTAAAAAGATTAGATTGTTCTAGAGATAGCACCTTATTTGTGCCAATATTTAGGCATGTTATCATACATTACTGATATCACTGGAATAGACTTTTTGGCCTCATTTTAACAAAAATGGGTACCAAAGCTAGTTTTAGCTTATCAAACTAGCATTGCATTAAAAAAAAATAAGTTAGTTTATCAATCAACATCGCTATTCAACAATTGGCAGTGAGAAGAAGACTGGCAAATAGTTCTGCAAATAGTAGAAAATATAACCTTCCATCACACCATTCAAGGGAAGCTCTGGCCAGAGACAGAGGTAGGTTTGTTCTTAAACCCATCTCCAGGATGTGCTGCCAGACTTGACCAAGACAGGCTCAAAACTCTTGAAATAATCCAAAGGATTCTGCCTCCGATGTAATCATTGGCTTCAAAGTCTGTAAACTCCATAAAGGGCTGCAGCAGTGTGCAGGCTGTGACCCCAAGAGTGAGCTACATCTCCAGTACATTCAACAAGCACTGTCAATAGTGATAAAATAAATGGTCTTTCCCAAGACCATCTAACTGGGGTATTTCAGGCAATATTTAATATGATGTGCATTTTTCACTAAATCTTTTGGGGGCATAATTAGTTAACATCACTGAGTCCTGGAAATTCAAAGAATATCATCAAAGTCACTAGGTTTATTTTAATTGTAAAATTTTTAATTCATAAAGTATTTCTTCAAGCAAATTTTGACAGCGGCCTACATGTCTTTAAAATTTTTGGTATTTGTATTGTTTATTCTAGTACACCTTGTTTTATCAAAGTAAAAATATGTTTCCAAAGAGTCAGAAAATAAAATTGTTTAACTTTTAAAAATGTTTAGAAATATCTAGGAACAAATTATAGATTTTTTTTAATATATATGCATGTTTGGAAAACACTTTACTTCTAATTTAGAACTACTTTAGCAGTTGTAAAAGAAGTTACTATAAAAGGAGTTATTTTCTCATTAACATGTATGAATAATTAAGCATATTGTTAAATAACTGAACTACAAAGCTGCATCTGGAATTGATAATAAATGTAAAAATTTAAAAGAAAATAGACAAATTATAGTTTAAAACAAGAATGTCATTATAAAGTACCCTATTAAGTAGATTAGGGTAAATGCATTTGTAAATTTGAATGACATGCAGCTCTTATCAAGCTACCTATGGGGCCATAATTTACAATTCTTAAACATAATTAAGTAAAAAGCAGTGGACCATGTATGTTTCACATTTTCTGATAGAATAATGCAAGTTACATTCAACAGTGGAAGATGTTTACTCACCCACCCCAACTAGATCTTTCTGCTCATAATTTTTTCTTTAACTTAGTGAAGACACTTCAATTGTTATGTCTTCTCTGAAAGAAAATGTTCAGCTTACTATGTCTGACATGAAGATCTGGAATGAGTATGTCTAAAGTGATACTTTGTTTTGTGTGACTTTAAGGCCATCCCCAGAGTATTAACAAATTCCCAACCCCAATAGTTTTATGAGACTACAAGTCTTTTTCAAAATAAAGCTAGTGTGATCAACACACAGAGTTATTTTGAGAGAAGACAGATAAAATCAATTTGGAAAAAAATATCCCAAATAAACAATACAGTCTGATGGTGAGTCAAAAGAGAGAGGATTGGCCCCCTCTGGTTGGTGTTGACTGTGTTTACATGTTTACATGAAGATAATATTGGGGGCTTTTTTCCTGTAGTATTTACAACTTCTCCTCTTCTCTTTGCTTACTGCCTCTATGAGACTGCAAAACTTTAGAACTATTAATCCCTATTACAGGTGTCACTTAAAGCCCAAGACTTAGTTACTTCTCTGATTCATTATACCCTGGGGATGACTTTATGTACTTTCTCTATTAGGCCAAATGTCTCTCTCTGTTTCTTGATATGTATCTGGGTTTTTATATACGTGTCTCAGAGGTCAGATGTTATTATTATTATTATTATTTTTTTTTTGCCACGATGTTCTTCAAAGGTTACCTGAAACTCTTTGTTGATTTTCCCATAGGACTTTTTCAACGAGCAATAGCTCAAAGTGGAACAGCCCTTTCCAGCTGGGCTGTTAGTTTCCAACCTGCAAAATATGCTAGAATGTTGGCCACAAAAGTTGGTTGCAATGTTTCAGATACAGTAGAGTTAGTGGAATGCCTCCAGAAGAAGCCTTACAAAGAACTTGTTGATCAAGATATTCAGCCTGCCAGATACCACATAGCCTTTGGACCTGTGATCGATGGTGATGTCATACCAGACGACCCCCAGATATTGATGGAGCAAGGAGAGTTTCTCAACTATGACATAATGTTAGGAGTTAACCAAGGGGAAGGGTTAAAATTTGTTGAAAATATAGTAGATAGTGATGATGGTATATCAGCTAGTGACTTTGACTTTGCTGTTTCCAATTTTGTTGATAATTTATACGGCTATCCTGAAGGCAAAGATGTTTTGAGAGAAACCATTAAATTCATGTACACTGACTGGGCTGATCGGCATAACCCTGAAACCAGAAGGAAGACACTGTTGGCATTATTTACTGACCATCAGTGGGTGGCACCAGCTGTAGCCACAGCAGATCTTCACTCAAACTTTGGTTCACCCACATACTTCTACGCCTTTTACCATCATTGCCAAACAGATCAGGTTCCAGCTTGGGCTGATGCAGCCCATGGAGATGAGGTTCCCTATGTATTGGGAATCCCCATGATTGGTCCCACAGAGTTATTTCCTTGCAATTTCTCCAAAAATGATGTGATGCTGAGTGCTGTCGTAATGACATACTGGACAAACTTTGCTAAAACTGGGTATGTACTTAAGGAGTGATGTTTACTAGAATTTTAGTAGAATATATCCCTTTAAATATTTTTAAAAACAATACATATTTTGTGCCCAAATAATTTAAGAAATTGATAGCAGCAATATAGCAAATTCTTTTTGTTAAAAAATTAATTCTATATTATAATGTTTCAAAAAGTCATTACTATTTTAGTCTTGTTTTTTAAAAGTTTATTGAGAAAGGCTTATGTCTCTATTGCATTGCTGAAAAATTGTTTATGTTTTTGGTTTTTTGTATTACAAAGAACTTATTTTTGGTACTATTTACTAGTACAAAATATTATTTCATAGTATTTCCAGTTCATAATTCTGTGCGCTATTTGATCTTTCTAACAACCGTCTGAGACAAAGTCAGATACTATTAATCCTGTTTTACACAGAGGGGTCCTGAGGTTCTGAGAGCCTCTTATAGATATTCATATTTCTGATATGTTGCAGCACCATAACTCAAATATTTATCTGCCAGTCCCAAACCTCAAGTCCTTCCTTTCTATTTTTCCATACCATTTCTATATAGATTTCCTATAACATAACTCATGTGTATATAAATATTTAAATAAATTTTTAAAAAAAATATTGGAATAGCTGAATGTGGAGGAACACATCTATAATCCCAGCTGGCTCTGGAGACCAAGGCAGGAGGATTGCAAATTTAAAGCCAGCCTCAACAACTTAGCAAGACCCTGTCACAAAATTAAAAAAAAAAAAAAAAAAAAAAAAGAGGCTGAGATATGGCTCAATGGTTGAGTGCCCCTGGGTTCAATCTCTGGTACCAAAAATAGATAGATAGATAAATCTTGGAATAGATAGCAGCCTGTTTTTAGTGGACATAGAGGGCAAGAATGTGAGACCTATTGTTTTGTATTTTCAACCATCTAGAAATCTGCCTCTTATATGAGATTTAAATTTCTAAATTGACCCAAGTTAATGTTAAAATACAACCTAAAGCCTTGTTGTGTTACCGCTTCACTTGACATTAAAATACTGATATTTTGACTATGGACAAAATAATCTTGTTCTCATAAATTCTTTTTTCTTTCCTAGTGACCCCAATCAACCAGTCCCTCAAGACACAAAATTCATCCATACCAAACCCAACCGCTTTGAAGAAGTAGCATGGACCAGATATTCCCAGAAAGACCAACTTTATCTCCATATTGGATTAAAACCAAGAGTTAAAGAGCATTACAGGGCCAATAAGGTGAACCTCTGGTTGGAGCTGGTACCTCATCTGCATAATCTCAATGACATTTCTCAGTATACCTCGACAACAACTAAAGTGCCATCAACTGACATCACTCTTAGACCCACGAGAAAAAATTCTGTACCTGTCACATCAGCCTTTCCCACTGCCAAGCAGGATGATCCCAAACAACAGCCAAGTCCATTTTCAGTGGATCAAAGGGACTACTCAACAGAGCTGAGCGTCACTATTGCAGTCGGAGCATCATTGTTGTTTCTGAACATCTTGGCCTTTGCAGCCCTGTACTACAAAAAGGATAAGAGGAGACACGATGTCCACAGGAGGTGCAGCCCTCAGCGTACTACCACCAACGATCTGACCCATGCACAAGAAGAGGAAATCATGTCCCTCCAAATGAAGCACACTGATTTGGATCATGAATGTGAGTCCATCCATCCACATGAGGTGGTTCTTCGGACCGCCTGCCCCCCAGATTACACACTAGCTATGAGAAGGTCACCTGATGATGTTCCCTTAATGACACCCAACACCATTACAATGATTCCCAACACTATACCAGGGATTCAACCCTTACACACATTCAATACATTTACTGGAGGACAGAACAATACTCTGCCCCACCCCCATCCCCACCCCCATTCACATTCAACAACCAGGGTATAGCCAGATAAGAGAAACAAACTATTTTTTTTTCTTTTGATGGATTGCAGTAAAACAAAATTACTGAAGATTCCTTGGCTTTCAACCTACAAGACTCTCACTATTTAAATAAGGAGGAATATTATGTGAATATACATATCAAGAACTTTGGGGGTTTTGAAAAAAATGAATTGTATATATATATACACAAATCAACTCTAAAAACAAATTTCAATTGCTTGAAGCAATTGTTCTGAATGATACTTTTTCATTCACATTCAAGAATTAATTTTTTGAAGATTTAAGTTGCATAATGGAATTAGGCATGTGGAACACCAAACAGGAAAGAACTATGTCCGAAATATAAAAAAATTTAAAAACAACTATGAATATGCACAAGGGACACACCAATGGAATGTCAGATAATTTTCACCAGTTTTTATTTGGAGCTGTTTTATTGTGTAGACCATATTTACATATTTGGATAAGTACACAAAGCACCAATGCTGTTAATGGCCTTAGCGGAGGCTCATGCTGAAATTTGCCAGTAAAACAAAGGAGTTTAAAGACTGGCAGGTACAACATTATCACATAAGTGCTGTCAGTATAAAGTTGTGGGGATAAAGGAAACTGGATATTTTTAGCACGATGTGCATGATAATTTATATGCTTGGTGGCTGTGCTGCTGATTAAGCCGTAATTAAAATTCTTCTCATCCCATTGGAGTTTTTAATAGAAGCTTCCTCCATCAATTGGCAGAACCTAAAGAAGATTTTAAGGGGCAAAAGTAATTACAGTAAAATAATTCACAGTAGCTTCAATAATAGAAGGAATTAGCTATTAAAGGTATTTGAAGAAATATAGGTATAGTGGTGAATACTCGCTGATATGAATCCCAGAAAAAAAATTTCCTGTGTTTTTAATGTTCTTTTCATTCCCATCTAAATAATTTATAGAAATATAACCCTAATTGGACATATGTTACCGGCTCTATAATTTGCTGTGTTTTTTTGTTACTCTGTATTTTGTTCCTTTTGGTAAGGTGAAGTGTGTCCAAAGAGTTGTTTGAAACAGTCTTTTATGATATGAAGATGCCCCAATATTACCACTCTGATGACAGTTCTCAGTTAATTGATTTACTCATGTTGCATGGCAAAATGTTTACCGATAATAATTCAATATAAAGTTATGTCCCTCTTCACATCACTTATCTTTCTCACTGAGGTTCATTCACTGGAATTTACTCACGCAATCTCAGTAGAGTGCGACATAGATAAAGAACCTAGGAGAGTCAACACCTGGAGGATTTTAGTCTTACACACGTGTGTGATTTTAAATGAATACTCTAAGATCACAGGAAACTCTTCATCCCCCTGTTTACCAGTAATATCAGTATATCACTGACCTTTCCAAATGTTTGTATATGTAATCCGATGTACATTTATATTAAAACAATGAGATGGACTTAAAGAGCACATCCTGATAAATACTTTCTCTCTTACCTGTACTATATTTCTATTAGACTAAAGTTATGTGATTTTTTTTTACATTTTTTCAGATGACTAGCAATTTTGATAGTTTGTAAGATAATGCAAAGAACTTTCTCTGACAAACTAACTGCAGTAACAGAAACCTTTCTTTTCAGTTACTCTTTTTCAAGAATGAAAGCTTATTATACAAAAGAAAAAAATTGTATACTACTTGATGGAAACAACTTTGTACATCTTGGCCATGTCACTGGTCATTGCGTGAAATAAAGATAATCTGGATAATGACTATTAGTCAAATGCTAAGAGACATGATCTTTGCTCATTAAAGAGCTAAAATGTTTATTGCTGTTTTGTCTTTTTTTACAAAACAAAAACAAGAGAAACATGACTGTCTCAAAGGGTCATTTTTCTAGACCAGTCGGGTTTTTGAAGACACATAGGTAACTTCTACAGAAAAACATGACCATGTGTTTAAAGTCAATTCTTGTCTAAGATTGAAACTTTAACATTATGGATTTATAAGCTCCAGAAACTCTTGAAAAATATTAGCTTTGTATTTTTAAATACCCCTTTTGTGAAGGTGTTTTAGAAATAAAGTGCCAATTGTTTTCCGTTAGAAACACAGGTTACAATTCTGATCATCAGGGAGAAGGTCTTTTGGAAAGAAATGTGCAAAAATTCATGAAATATAAATATCTAGATTCACGGGGCTGGGGATATAACTCAGTCGGTAGAGTGCTTTGCCTTGCATGCACAAGGCCCTGGGTTCAATCCCCAACACCAAAAATAAATAAATAAATAAAAGAAAGAAAGAAAGAAAATTTAACTTCATAATATAAGGGTAATTAAGTTGTCATAAAGTAGCAGATAGAAAATTATCCTTGAAAGAGAACTTACAATTGCTGTGCAAGACATTAAATTATACTAAAAGATAAGTTTATTTCAAGGGATTTCTTTGATTACAATTTCTCCTCCCAATTATGAACCTTCAGTAAAATGCAGATATGGCTCCATAATTTCAAATAAAAATCTCTGTTAGAAGCCAAAAAATCCAGAGTCTTCAAAATCCAGAGTGGTCTACATTCAGTCTTTGCCTGATGTGGTTATGCTTTTAGACTGTGAACTGCCAATGTAAACCAATAAAAGGAATTGCTTAGCATCTGAAATATTGTTTAATCAGAAGACTGTCTTTTACTATATTGAGTAAACAAAAGATAAAAACAGAACTAGAAATGACAGCAGAGTAAGACAATATATGAATACCTTCATAGGCATTACTTCCACCTGGCAAAAACAAACATTCTATTATGTTGTACTGATGGCCAAATTTCTCCCTACTGTACCTTTATCTGTAAACCTGCCTATCTGTACCGTATCTGACTTCTACTTCATGTTAAAATTTGGGGAAGAAGCATTACCCTGTTTATTTCTCTAAAATTTAAGTAGCATCAACTTTGCAGAAGGCAGAGAAGCCAGATTTTATTGCTCTTCTCAAGTTAATTGGTAAAGTCATTGTGAATGAGTGTTAGTTGTTAGTTTTATAATCACAGACTCTAGTTTTCTGGATGAGAAACGATATCCCACATTAAGCAGAACATTAAGAACTGTTTTCAAAGCTACAATATAAATTTTTAAATGCAAGAACTAATTTGAATACTATTAATAAATTTTAATCAATATGCTTAACATGTATTTATTTAGATAATAGCCTCCTTTAGGGAAAAAAAGTAAGTACTAAAAATAAAAGAACATTTTGGCATTATTTATTAATTCAGATTTTCTTGATTCGATTAAATTGTAACCTAAGCAAGGCTGCTTAGAATTTATATAAACATTAAGCCAAAATGAACTTTATTTTATTGTTTTGTTTTTCTATAAACTTTTTGCCAAACGTTTATTAGAATAATATTGTTTTAGAGTATGAGGTTAAAAATGTTAAAATGACAGATTTCATAGTTTTAAATTTTTATTAAACTATGAACAAAATCTGATTTACTACTACAAGGTATTTAATAAATTTCATTAATTCTATGCAAATTGGAGCATAATTTGCTAAAATGTTACAAATACCCAATTTGGAGACATCTTTTCAACTCAAATGAAATGAGTGTGGATAATTTCATTTCTCAATAGAATTTAAATGTTGACCAAAAAATTCTTTATTTCAGACTTCTTAATCTGTATAACCTGAAAAGAGCAACATTTATATATATATCAACCATGTTTACTAAGCAGGAAAACAAGATGGCAATAATTTTCTTACAGAAATGAAATGCCAAATTTAAATGGCTGTATGTAAAAAATGTTAGATAATGACAGTTATTTCACCTGTTGGTATATTCATATTCAAATGCATATTATTGTCAAGAAAGGATAGAAGAAATGTAGTAAATATGTTCCAGCTTTAAAGACACTACTACATAGAAATTACTGGGATTCTTTTCCTTGGCGAGTTTCACTGAAATACTTTCACGGGACAATATGAGTGGAGTTTTTAGGAAGTTGTGAAACATCATAGAAATCCTTTGATGTTAGTAATTTTATTTCTGTCTGTGGTGTTGATTCAAAGTACTGGCCTTTTCCTTCATTTCCAGTAATTAGTTGTTACAGACTATCACTTTTTAATGTGAGTGAAAATTAGATAATTTGGTTATACTTGTGAAAACATGCTCCCAAATAAATTCAATTAATGGGCACTTCCCTGCTGAGATTTTTGTTATCATTCATTTAATTATCTTGCCAAGCTTTACTGTTACAGCAATCGTTTTAGCTTTTTTGTCTATAAAGTAACAGAATGTCTGCAATAGCCTTATACCTTTCCTGCACTTGATATTGACAATATACCAATATACACTTCAGATTTCCATTGCAGTCTCCAAAGTTCCTTAGAAACTTCAGGTGACCGACTTGATTCTTTTCCATAAGCATTGCGATTTGGTTTTAATCTGGCACTTTGCTGTATTTATTGTATGCAGGCCAGAAATTAATTCCCTAATTAATGTGATTAGGGTTATGGAGAATATAAACTGAAATAACCATGTGCAGAGCCTAAGTGCCTTTTCCTTTTGGAATTTTATTTATAAAACTTAACTTTTTTAATTTACAGATTTTGATTAATTTGATTTAAAAAACAACTTAAATGAATAGGTTTACAATTGCTAATAAGAAAATATTATTTGGAAATTGTGCAATTAATTTGAGTTTTGTAGGATATCAAATGGGTACAAATGACTCTTTGGAAAGAATGAAGTCATTATTTTTTTTGAAACATAATAACTCTTTAGGCATCTGATTTGATGGTACTTAAGAACAGAAACTTCAATCTCTAACAAACTTTTAAATGTTTCCAAATATTGAATTTAATTTAGAAGTCTGAAGTTATTAGGAACAAACATAAATAAGATACATATATAATTTTTCTGGCCATCCATTATGTACTATATCATACATATATCTATCTAATACATGGTTCATTGGAAATTTATGATGGCCCTTTTAGATCCATATATTTACAAATAACATTGTATAGCTTCCTAAATTTGTAATAATATGACAGGATTCAGTATTCCATGGAAAGTCAAGCCAAAGTACAAGAAGTGTTGTGTTGATATAAATGATAACAAAGCTTTAAAGAGATTTGTAAAGACACAATAACGAAAACTCAGCAGCTGAAGTTCAAACAAGGGGACCATTTTTGAATGCCATTTTCAGAGCTGATATCTATATTAGATGAAGTGTTTAAAAAGTTTTAGTGTTTTTGATTCATTCTTTCTCTGCATTCATATCAATTAGCAAATTAATGCGTCATATATCATGGTTTTTGTAAAAAAAAAAAAGGGCCATTGGGTTGTCATGGTTCAGTTTGTGTTTGGACATCCATGGCTTTCATTAAAATGCATTTATTATCATGAATAAATATTATCATATTTTCCAAGTTGTGTTGGCTATTTTTAAATTCAGAAATAATTTCTTCTGCTTGGCATGCCCTAAAGCATTTCTAAGATCAATGTTCCCTTACAACTTCTTGATATCCCCCATATGTGTGATGATGATTCTGATTTGATGGAAACAATTATAGGCTTATGTTCTGTTTATCTCTTGGTGGATTCAGGGAAAGAACATGGAGAATTGTGTTTGGAAATTTGGACAGAACTTGTCAGAAGAGAAGAGAGAAAAGGGGAAGCAGGGGTAAGGAAGGAGACAATGAGGAGCCAAGAGAAACTTCCCAGTTTGAAGTCATTTTTCCCTTGGAGTGGTTCAATAAATAGAGATGTGTTTATAAAAAGGAAAACAAAGGATTTCAATAAATCCCTTTAAAGCATAAATTTATTGATCATAGAGAACAAGATTACTAACATGTAAGAAAATGCACTAAACTTAATCCTTGGTCCAAGTCTCAGTCAAATTTTGTCCCTAGAAATAAAGAAAATTAAAACCTGGAGTAACGTATTTCTAATCTTGTACTATCCAATCAGTAATGACCTTAGGAGAGAAAACCATTTTATATATGGCCACCTTTTATCTGTGTAACCCAGAAAACAAGTAGGACATCATGAAATTTTCCCATACATGGCTTAAACATCAATGCTTTCCAATTGCTAAAGAAAATAAGTGACACTGTTTTACAGATCTCTGTGGCTGCATATGGCCATCGGTACAAAATAAATTAAATGATTCAAAAACATATTCCAAGAGTTCACTTTCTATAATAGAGAGTTTTGATGTTTTGTAGAATTTGGTGTCATTAGATATGAATACATTTTTCACTGCATTTTTACATTTTCTTACAGTTTGCAGAATGTTATTTCTGAGTTCAAAAAAAGTCCCAAATATATTCTATAAATGTTATGTAAAAGCAGAATTTTCCAGTGAAGTGCTATAATTTGAAGTACTTCCTACTACCACATTTCTAGCGAGTCGCTTTGAATATCTCTTTAAAACATTTCTATCTCCCCTGAAAATACTCAACTTCACTCCCAGAGCTGCCTTCCTCTGCACCATAGGGGATCCTCCCAACAGTTACTACAGCTTCTATTTCCATGAACTGTCTCATTACTATTTATATCTTCTTCTTTTTCAAATGTGTGGAATTTGTGAGGCAAGTCTTAAAAGGCGATCTAACTGGTGCCTTGGGAATGCTTCCTCTGTTTTCGGGCAGATTAGAAACTACATGAATCAAGCAATGAGAGGAATTAATCACTCATTCCTTAGTCAATGGTGCCTATCATGTGTCAGACAGTGTGGTGGATGTTGACGCATGGACCACTGCTATGGCTTACCCACTGATATATATAACTATGGGAATAATTTAAAAAACTTGAACTGATTCAGATCCTTTTCTGTGCTCTCCATTGTAGCAAATCATTGCATAATGTCCTATTTCATCTTATATGTCTCAAAATTGCACATAAAACATGATATTTGGGGGTTCGAAGCAGTATTAGTTGAATTTTCTGATCAAGCCCATCTATCAGGACAGGTGGTAGTGATCTATCCCAGCAATAAATATGGCCATATCTGAAGTTATGCTATACTATCACAAAATCAATCATCGAATATGAAATGTCCAGCTTAAAGTTCATCTCACTCAGATCGTTAACTGGTTCCTTAAGCTCTGCCACAGTCCCAGTTTGTGGTTATGAACCACCACAGTTCTGGAATTCTGAAACATCTGGCTACATTTTAGATGTTTTGGAAATTCTTCTTAATGATGATCTATTTCAGAACTTTTTCTTTTGATAGTTATAAAATCTCCATCACCTGACTTACTTTTAAATATATGAGGACTCCTGTTGTGTCTTAAATAAGTAATTTTCTGCTCAAGGCAAAATATTCCCAATTTCAATATAAATAGCTGAGTGTGTTCTCCATTTCAATCACTGTTCCTCAAAAATGCTTTTAAGCCAAAGTTTCTTAGGAAGTACATCAGGATTGACCACAATAAACCCTTAAGTATAGCTGACCTTTGCCTAATGGAGTATCATTATCAAATTCCTTATTATAAAATATTATTTTAATATAACTTATGATAGTATTGGCTTTTTTAGTGGACACAGAATTCTTTTAATTAAGATTGAATCTTATTCCTTACTAAAACTCTTAAATTTTCTACATGTGTTGCCAAGCAAATTATAATTTGCATTTTCCTCATATATAGAGATTAAATGTTATGAAATAATACTTCATTGGATTCAGAATATCATTCCATCCAATTAAAGCCTTTTTTTACCTTAGAGAAATGAAATCTCATGGTTGATAAATAACTTCTGTCTTTACCCACATAATTATCAAAAAATACCACACAGAATCAAGTTGAAGATGAAGCTCTAGAGAAATAATAATGGAGGCAGTATCTGTAAGACTGAGAAGAGCAAGAGCTAACATTTACTGAGCACTTCCTAGTTCCCAGGTTCTATGTCACACCCCACAAAAAACCACTACACACCACTGTCAAAATGACTACTTTTGATATGATAATTCACTAATTTGGTCTTTAAAAACTACTTATTATTATTACCTTATATGATGAACTACCCCTTGGTGATGGAAGAGTGAATAGAATGTAGTCTCTTTTCTCATACCACTAGCAGCTGACTGATTTATCTTCCTTTGTCTACAAACATTTTACAAGAGATACTATCAAAACACTTGCAGGATCCTTTTATTTCCATTTAAAATATTTGAGTGCCACCATAGTCATCTTTAGTAAGAAAATTGGCATAATTACTTTAGATTTTCTATTTGGGCATCTCTGTGTCACCAATGCCTTATATTATATGACAAAAGACATCACAGAAAAAGAATTCTCACAGCAATCATCTATCACACTGAAGATGTTCATTTAGGCCAGCCAAGTATAGTCTTCAAATTGCATTATTTTATACCAAAAGCATGTCCTAGAGCTATAGCTTACTGATTGAAGGCTTGTTTAGTATGTGCCAGACCCTAGGTTTGACTCTCAGGACAGGAAAGAAAGAAAAAAATAAAGATATAGAGAAAGGTAAAGAGAGAGAAAGGGTGGGGGAGGATAAAAAAAAGAAAAGATATAAAATATTTTATAGTGAAAAATAAACATCTCTCACACTTCAGATCCTTAGTTGATCTTTTAGTCTCAATTCCTTAGACATTGACTATTACCAACTTTTATAGATATTTCTACAAGTATCCTATTCATATGCAAATACATGCAAATATGTATTGTCTGTGTATGTATGTAGGGGGCATTTATGATATGTTCACTTTAATGTATCTGGAAAGGTTCTATGTGAGAACATATATGTCAGCCTTATGGAGAAAACAGAAGTAAATTTAAAGGTCTCAAATATACCAGGTGAGGTGGCACATGCCTATAATCCTAGTGACTCAGGAGGTTGAGGCAAGAGGATCACAAGTCCAAACCAGCCTCAGCAACTTATCAAGACCCTGTCTCTAAATAAAATATAAAAATGACTGGAGATGTGGCTCCATGGTTGATTGACCCTGAGTTCTATCCCTGGAACAACAACAACAACAACAAAATTTCATATTTATCCTTAAATTCAAGGCCATTATAATCAAAGTTTCAACAAAATTTGTTTATAGACCTGAGATAGCTACAGATCAAGAATAAACAAGATCATTTGAATGAAAATAATATGGAGCAACTACTTTTTCAACCATGCTTTAAGGGTAACTATAAATCTATTGCTCTTAAAACAGTGTGAATCAATTCAATATTGAGAGAAGGAAATAGAGAATGATAGTGAAGCATAAGCAAACTTATGAGAAAGGGAAACTTATTATATGCGAGAGTGGCATTACAAATCAAGAAAAGAGGATAGACACTAGCTAAAAATATCTATCCACATGGGGAAAAGTAGCCCTATGTCATAATACATACAAAATTTAACCCCAATAAAAATATAAACTTGAAAAACAAATTTCAGCTATTTTAGAACACAGAGGGAAACACTGTCATGTTCTTGAAGTAGTGATGGAGTTAAATGAGATAAAACAATAAAGGGAAAAACTAAAAAGTTAAAATATCAATATATAAGGTAATAAGAATTTTTAAAATGACAACAAGCATCTACAAACACTGAATGATTGCAGCACCCATCAGGAATGAAAGACTAATTAATGAGTTAAAATGGAGAACTTCTGTAAATCAGCAAAAAAAAAACAAATCCACAAGAAAAATTAAGCTGGTAAAGTATTGCAGATTAAATCATTTTTTGCTTTTCTCCTCTCCCAAATCCTATAAGAGGACTAAAAATATGGAAACCCATTAGAATGAAAGGAATTGAAGAGAAGATAGCAGCTGAGAAGTTTTAAGTTTGGGAAAGATAAAAATTACATAAAATAAAGAATGTCAAGAATATAATACAACCTATGAAATAAAAACATAAATTACAATTGGAAAAGTTAAGTGATTAAGTGATGTTTAACAGAACTCAAGAAAGAATTATATATACATATATGTGTGTGTGTGTATATATATATATACATATAATATATATGTATATAATATATATATATATATATAATTTCAAGAAGGGAGATTAAATTGAAAGAAATGCAAGGCATAGAAAATAACTAAATAGAAATAGAAGATGAAACAAAGAAAAAGTCCAAATGTCAAAAAAAGGAAGGAAGGAAGATAAGGAGGGAAAGAAGGAGAGAAGAAGGACTGAAGGGAGAGAGAGAGGAAGAAAGGAAGAAGAACTCAAGCATAACTGACCAGAGAGACAAAGAAAATTCAGTATATGTGTGTAGAATCCAAAAAAAGTGAACCAAAATGAGAGGATAGAACAAATACAATAAAAACTGTAATTCAAAAAGCTTTGCACAAGGTAATGATGCTACACTTTGAAAGGCTATACTTACGATCTGAGGACACACACCAGAAAGGACCAAGCCCAAGACATCCCCCAATAATATCCCAATTAAATA